CGCGTCTAAGATGACATAACAAGCGTTTTATGTTTATATCATTGCATATCATACTCACACCATGCTCTTTACTTTCCGCTTCGGTCGTCCTCAGCTTTGGTAGGTTACAGTCTAAGACTTGTGATGAGACAACTCGCCAGAGCACATATACATTTGTCTTATGTATTTGGAAGATTAGGTGATCTCTACCGGCTCCAAGTGACTCGTGTTGCCTGCAGAACGGCGCCTTACATTGATCAGCATTCCACTCGTGACATTTCGTGATATTCGCATTCCCCTTGAATATCAAGGCGTGACATTGGATTTTGCAGACTGCATGTCCCGGAGCTCTTGATGGGAGCAAATTCAGAAGCAACAACATGCTTGCCGCATGTTCCAGCTCACATTGAGGATATAAGTAGCGTTAAAGCAATAATATACATGAAAAGTGTATGTATTTAGTAATAAGGTATTCCGTTTAAGTGTGCGGTATGCCGCGTGCAAGTTGTTGTCACACGCCCAGCTGATGATAGCTGTCTTAGTGCAACATAGTCCGTCGTGCGCTAACTTGCTCTTGTACGTGAATCGCTTCGAGATACTGATCTTCTTTCTCTTCCCGTCACTAACCATGACGGCATGCTACGACATGATGCCGGCAAAGATGGCAATGTTGGGCATCAAGGAGGAAATACATCAACGTCTGTTCACGTAGTTTTGGTAGGAAAAATCCGTGCTACTTGCACTTATGATCGCCATTAGTCTCCTCAATCACAATGACCACTATTACTATCGTTATGTTCATTAACCCTCACCCGGCCAGGAAGTTGGCTTCCTCCCTACGGTTTTTCAGGCACAGATCAACAATGAACACATGCAGCAGCACCAAATTTGCTGAAGTAGTTCTATTAATCTTTCTTCCTTTGCACCATTTTGAAGGTTTCATTTTCCAAGCCCAGTGACCTAGGTCAGGTTAAAAGGTCAACTTCCGAAAATTTTTGACCACGCATAACTTTTGTTGTACGACACTTACCGTTTTTAAAATTTGCTATTATGATATAAAGCGATAATATCTAAAGTTTGTGTGCTTCAGGTTTTCCGAAATAAGGGGCTCAGTGACATGACGTGAGGTCAGTTTTGCTATATTTGACAAATAATGCAAATGTATGCGCATTTCCGTGTAGTTTTGGTGTCTGCATGTTAGGAAAAGATTACTAACTCAGATGCGCAACCATCATATGATCACAGAGCACAATCATTGACCTAGGCCATGATCAACCTCTATGGGTGCCTTTTGCAAAACACACGCTACGCTCAAAACAGGCAGCTTTGTTAAATAAGTTTGGGCGCAAAATTCGAATCATCCACTGCAAGCATGTTGTGATATCATTTTAATGACTAAGGAGGTCACAATGGGTCACGTGCGGACATGCAAGGTCATATGTGGTCATCCAGGGCTAATGACCCCTGTTGTCAGTAACGGAGAGGTCGAATAAACGAGCGTAACGCGGGTAACCGGGCGCGGTTGTCTCAGACTTCCGTCCGGGCGCGGTTGTCTCAGGCTCCCGTCCGCGCGCGGCTGTCTCAGGCTCCGTCCAGGCGCGGCTGTCTCAGGCTCCCGTCCAGGCGCGGTTGTCTCAGACTCCAGCCCAGGCGCGGTTGTCTCAGGCTCCCGTCCGGCGCGGTTGTTTCAGACTCCCGTCCAGGCGCGGTTGTCTCAGACTTCCCGTCCAGGCGCAGTTGTCTCAGACTCCCGTCCGGGCGCAGGTTAAACAAGACATACAGTGGAGTGAGATCTCAAATCAGGAAGGCGCAAGAACAGAAGCTTGACGCACCTGGTCTGAAAAAAAGACAGAGAAGTGCTTCACTGAGATCGCCGCCATGGTACAGCTCGCTCAGCTTCTCCTACATGAGCTTCAACGGGGATGCCACGCTCAAATGCTGTAGAGAGGAAGATGATTGAGAGCATGCTAGAGTTCGCCGGACCTTGGGAGCTGAGCAGGAAATGCTGAGTGGTGGGCCACCACCGAGCCGTCATTTCTACTGAGTTCTGCGCCATGCAGTAGAGAACGTCGGTGATATAAAGGCTGCTTGTGTCTGAAAATGATACGCTTGGTTTAAATGAAAGAATGGCTTTCAGCTCCTGAGCGATGCTTGGTGTCGACACCCTTCTGCAGGCACGTCAACTGGCATCCCGGCGGCTTCAGCCGGTGTGCTTCGGCGGAGCGAGTGACTCGGGGACAATCCAGCAGTTTAAAGCCTTATAAATTTTGGCATAAATCCTGTTCCGACGCCGCATCCATGTCACAGCTCTGGCGGTAAAATGAAAAACTGGTTTGGACCTATGCAATTTATTTTTTAACAGCGCTTTTCCATGCCGCAAGATCTTAACAAATGTGAGCGAATACGTGAGCTTCGATCAGAAGCTTTAACAAATCTTGGGTGAAGTGATGCTGTGGGTGAAAAGCGGAAGGCTGATCAACGTTAGCAATTTTGAATTCACTTCTGCTATTCGTTTCAATAAAGGCACGTTGCCAAAATATTAACGCACCTATACCTCCACTCTCCCTGTTTTTCCGAGGGATAAGGCTATTACTACTGTCTTATCTATGTGGATAAGGTCCATTGCACATGCACTTAAGTTACGTAGGACATTATTGTGTGATATTGGGAAGACTGGTGTGCACCCAAGCATGCGTGCTACTTTCAGCGGTCCCATCTGACTGCCTAAATCAGTAGAAATTGTGACGTTCTTGTTTACCCGCAGACTTGTCGGTCACTTCAAAGACCCCGTCAGGCTCCAGACGCGCGTAGATTAACCGCGCGAGAGATGATGGCTTCCAGGAAGCTGGATGACAACGGCCCCAACCGGCCGACAAGCGTCGCTCTTCTGAGGGCTGAAGCCGCAAGGCGTGTTCTGTGTCACGACGGCTGACATCTGTGTGTGTATATGTGTAATTGTATGCGTGCTTTTTTCTGACTGGCCTGGCGCGCTGCTGCCAGTGTGCGGTCGCCGGGCCGCCCCTGTGGTGGGTGTCGGGAGTAGGTCAGGGTCGAGCGGCCGTCCCGGCGGCGGCGGCGCGCGCTCTGCGTCAGCCAGCGGCGTGGCTCGCTCTGCGTCAGCCAGCGGCGGCGCCCGCTCTGCATCAGCCAGCGGCGTGGCTCGCCCGTTGCCGGCAGCACACGCACGTCACATCCGGCTACGTGTATTTACAAATCACAGACATGTATGTACGTACGAACACGGGCAGGCATCGACACAACGCACAAAGCACCGCCGTCTAACTCTCACAACAATCAACATGACGGGAGATTATCTCGCAGACAGGGCGCACGCACGGCCCGTGAGGTTGACAAAAAGCGCGCTCGTCACACTTCCGAGGGCCGACCCGACGCACCATCGCGCCAGCAAGCGTCGCCCCTCTCGTTCACACCCGATAGGCCGGCGCGGGGCCGCGTGCGAGTCTCGCTTGGCGGCTGAACGCGGTCACGCGAAGCTCGCTCGCTGTCACGCCGTGGAGAGCTGTGCCCGCTGTCCTGAAGCCGCGTGCGAGAGGGACCAGCCCTCGCCACGGGCGGAGGCGGACCGCAGGCGCCCCTGGCTGGGGGCGTCCGCTGACCCACAGCCGAATTAGCAGGCACTTTGTGCCCTCGCCACCAGACGGCGTGGTTTTTTATCACGGCCTTGAGGCGCCAGCGCCCCAGCTGGTGACATATCTCCCTCTTCACACTCACCATCTGCCCACCTGTACTGGCCTTGGCGGACGTTCGACTGGTGCGACGCCCATAGCTAACTTCCGTCTAATTGCGACGCCTACTCAGCCCAAAAGCATTACTCAGTGTTAAACTCCACAGCTCCCTTTTCGCAACTCGGTCCCATATGGCCTTCAGCCCGAGGCGAGGCTGGTAGGCACGGTGACACGTCACTGGCGGCTGCGTGATGACAAGAGTAATGCCCACTTGAAATATCTCCAGCGCGAACGAGGCGCCGACGTACTGGCTGGAACTCCCCACTTCCGGCCCGATACCGCGTCGGCCACGTAGCTCGCCGTGTTGTCGCGTGTTGTCGCGAGACTCGAGGCCACCACCGCACACACATCTGCGCAGTGACTAAGCGGCGACGGTGGCGACACGGATCCAGCCGGGCCACCGCCACCCGGCCGTGAGCCACGCTGAGGTCGCTGCGCTTGACGCTTTGACGTGTCCTCGCACCGTGGTCAGCCGGCGGGCTCCGGCCGGGAGGTTGGGTCGGGAGCGGTGCCACTCGCCGCCGAGCTCGACCCGCACCCGGGCGGCGCCGCGCCGGTGTGCCTCCCAGCTCCGGTGCCGGGCCTCGGCCAGTCTACAGAGCCGCACCCACTTCACCCCGTCCATCGACGTGCAGTTGTTTGGCGAATCTAGCTTCGGGCCATCCCCTGAGCTCGGCGCCGGAGCGTTGACTAGTGTGGCCGACCGGCGGCGGCGCATCACGAGCGGCGGCCGGCCGCGACGACGGGCAGCAGCGGCAGCAGCAGGCTCGGCAGCAGCAGCAGCAGGCTCGGCAGCCGGCTGGCCGCGCCGCCCCCTGCCCGGCGCGGCTGGGCGTCGCCGTCCCCGAAGCCGATCACTGCCGAGAGGACGGACCACGGTCAGCGCGCGCGGGCACGGCCGCCTCCCCAGGGGACCCCGCGGTCAGCGGGCACGGGCACGGTCGCCTCCCCAGCGCACCCCACGCGTTCTGGGGCCACACCCCCACAGTCGACGGGCACGGACCGGGGCAAAAATATTGCCCGCCTCGCAAGGCCATGTCCGGCCCTCACTGGACGCTCCCAGTCGGTTCGACACGATTTTGAAGATGGTTTTCGACAACGCTCGTAAGGCGGCACCAAAATTGCAATACGATTAAACAGAAGCCGAAGAAAAGAGAAAAGCTAGTGCATTGCTGAGACAATCAACGCAAACGAGATTAACCACCTCCCGTCAAACAATGGTAAGTGCACAGGTACATGTAAAAACGTGCGCGAGTGTTAAGCGTGCAACGAATGCAAGGAATACTTTTCTACCTCGGAAACACGGCTCAAAATGGGTTGGTTGCATCATTTTCGTTATTAATGGTAGGGTACTCGTTCACGTCCATGCAGTGCCCCAGGTGCAATGCTACATTCCTGAAAGTCTGGGCACGAGCCTTCCCAGCCCGCTGTGCAGAGGTCATGCTGTTAATAGTAAAGTTTGATGACAGCACAGAACCTTCGTAGCCCTCGAGGCCGGGGCCCGTGCCCGTGCGTGGAAATCGGCGCCGCATTCACTGGTTCTTCTATAATACGTGGGTTAAGCTCTCTCCCGTGCAAACGTATGCTCAGGTGCACGTGCGGCTTAAACATAAAATCGTACCTGTAAGTGTGCGGAAGCACACGAGTCAGCCTTTAGGCTTCTTTACCTAAAATAAAACAACACAAAGGTACTAACTAGGCAATGGTAAATCAAACAAACATAAACTGCCTCTTGCAAAAACATTAATCCAAAAATGAAAACGGTTCAATAAGACTCATGCACATGCAGTGCTGCTTGAAAATAAAAAACACGCGTTGAGCTGCATCATTATTGGCAAATATAACTTATACGCATGTATGTTGTAAACGAGCAACGTACCTATCTGAATTGACAAAGCATCGAGTACCTATTTTAGTGTCCGCGGATGACTGACTTCGGATAGCAAAGGACTAGCGCGCATATACGCTGGTATGCTTTAGATTCTCCGCCCAGGTCCTCCAGACCTTCGATGGTTGCTGTATCGTTTTTGATCTTGCTAGGTTGTTTCGCACGCGTCACACATTTTGACTCAGACAGGCCTCGGAATCCGACAATGATGTGATGATGCTAACGCGGCACAATTAACACGGCGTTGCCTGTCAGCGCGCTCTCTCTCCTCCCTCCCTCCCCTCCCTCTCTCTCTCTCTCTCTCTCTCTCTCTCTCTCCTCTCTCTCTCTCTCTCTCTCTCTCTTCTCTCTCTCTCTCTCTCTCTCTCTCTCTCTCTCTCTCTCTCTCTCTCTCTCCTCTCTCTCTCTCTCTCTCTCTCTCTCTCTCTCTCTCTCTCTCTCTCTCTCTCTCTCTCTCTCTCTCTCTCTCTCCTCTCTCCTCTCTCTCTCTCTCTTCCCCTCTCTCTGGCTCCGCCTCGGCCGGACCGTGGTGCAGCTGAGCTAGCTCTCGGGGCGTCCGCCACAACAGCGCCGGCGGCTGGTGCTGGTGACCCTCGCGACACAATCGGCGCAACGCTGACGCGGCCGGCGCCGGCGCCGGCCCGGCCGCCGCCGCCACGGCAGCGGCCCAACAATGACCAGTGGCGTCTGGACCGCTCGGAGCGGGTCGGCAAGGTCAGCCAGGCTCAGTGCGGGTCGCCGCCGGTCACGAGCCGGGCACCCGGGACCTCCGCCGGTCAGGGTCAGGGCAGCCTCAGAGTGCGGCCTGCTGTTCATGCCGTGTTGACCCAGCCGGTAAACATTTGTGACCTGAATGGCAACACCTTGCCGCCGCGCGGTAACCGTGTGTGTTTTTTTCTCGCAGCAGCCGACAGAGGGATCGTTGTGCGGACTTGACTGCAAATCAGGGCACCGCGTTTACCGCCCCACCCTCGCCAGGACCGGGGCGGTAACAAACGGCACGGCGGCCGACGGAGATCTAATCGCTACCCAGAGTTTGGTGTGGCTACTCTACGCTTGCTTTGGGCTCAGCTAGGAGGTCTGTGCAGGCGCGCCGCGGCTTATCATCAGGTCGGGGCGGGCGGGGTCGCCGCCACAGGTGGCGGCCGGTTGCGATGTTGTGTGGTGTTTGGGACGTCTCCATGGCGAAGCTTCGATCGCCGTGCATCGAGCAGCGCGGTTCACTGCTCGCGGCGAGCGTGGCCGCGGGGCCGTCGCCAATGGCAAGGGCACCGACTGGTGACACCCCACGTCCGCTGACCGCCCGCTGACAAGTAAGGCCGCTATAAATCAACCGCTGAGCTGCACCGGCAAATCAAAATGGAATACCCCAACCCTACCTCAACAAGATACGGTAGAAGTAAGTCATTCTGTCTCATGACTTGATTTTCGAGTAATTACATAACTCGACGCCCGATTTTGGAAACCTGGTCACCACCAAGAGCCGATGACAAGCCCAGTGTCGGCATTGGCACGTCTCGGGGATAAGGAACACCATCGCGGTTGGGTGTTACCGTTGGGCCGGCGGCCGGCGCTGATTCAGCGCTCGATACAGTAACGCAAACACGCGTACACAGGCAACGGCACACTGCGGTTTGAAACCACGGCTCTCACTGGGACCCTGTCTCGCCACGGGCCCGCCCTGGAGGGTCGGCGCTGCCTGGTGACGGCAGCCGGAATTGTGGCGGGGGAAAGGGCGCTCCCAGAGAACTAACGGAGAATATGCTCCTCAGATGATCTCTCAAATCTATCTGGAGCTGCTTTGGAATGTACTTGTTCACGTACTCGTCGTACGCTTCGTGGACCACCCTCATATAGTTGGCAGAAAACCATGCCAATGCAAGTTGCTGAATCAACGATCGCCCTTCACCGCACGCTATCAACAATGACTTGTTTTTGTCGTGAACTGATTCCGTGGAAAAATGGCGTCACCTGGAATTATTCAGCAGTGCCAGCGACAGCAGGTAGTTAACCGGCGCGGCCTGGGTCATTTCCAGGAACACGTCGGGCAGTCCTGATATCTTTCGATGCGGCAAAAATGGCCTGTTTACGCCAGTGCCGTGCCTACCGCGAAAAGAAACGAAACATTGATCCTGACCCATTGCGTAACCAGTTCAGCCGCCGCGCTGTGGCGGCACGTAGTCGCCCGCGCACAGACAGGGACGCTGCAATCACGTCCGGCCAGAGTGCTCGAATTGAATGCGTCTGTTCGCCTTTCATTGACAGCGGGGTTGCCAGTGTTTCCTTGTCAGCCGCCCTAACATGGGCCGCGTATAAACGACCTTACGGCCGACCTTTTGGGCACCGTGCGGGGTCGCGCGCGAGGTCAACACCGGCGGCGGCTTATCGATTCGTGAGTGCCGTTCGTGGAAGGACTGCAGGAATGCCACCACGAACCGTGGACGAAGTGGGCGGCTCGCCGCCTGTAATGACCTCACGTGACCGTCTGTGCACGCGGTCAGCAGTGGACAGCCCAGGGGACGCGGGGCTGCTCACGCACTATCAGCATGCCTTCATCCGCGCTCTATCGGAGATTTTCACGTTCAGCTAAAGAGAGGCCTCGCATCCCCCCCCCCCCCCCCGCTGTAAAATGTCAAAAACTAAGCAAGCTGGAGCCACGAAGAAAACGACACTGGAAAATCCTAGTCAAAGTATATCAGGAATTGTGACTGAATGCTGCTGAATGTGGCTTTTGACCAGTCATATTAGACAATTCATTTTTAACTTATTAAGGAGCTGCCCACCGCAGGACTACGAACGTAAGCCGAAGTTGCTCGTAATAAAAACATTTATAATGGCCAAACAGGGATCCCAGGCAGGACCAGCCTGGGCAAAATGCGTAGCTCACATCGCTACTCATAACAGCACTGGCTTGAAGATCGTCTAAAACTCATCCAAAAGCACGTTTTTGAGCAGAAATACACCACCTAGATCCTGCGACCCACACCCATCATTATGTTGATCGGCAGCAGCCTGCTCTGAAACAACGTCGCGTCGACGCTGCGTTGATGCCCGCCGCGGCGTGGGTGAGACTACAGCGCGGGTCACCGTCAGCTGAGGTGACCGTCACACGATCACACGTGTGACGGTCACCGTCAGCTGAGGTGACCGTCACACGATCACACGTGTGACGCAGCCACCGCAGACCACGCAAGCAACGGCCACTCACCGGCGTCGCCGTCGGCCTCGCCGGAGGCCATGTCGCCGCGGACGCTGGACGGCGTGACCAGGTTGGAGGGCTGGTTGCTGCAGCCGAACCAGTAGGCGGCCACGGAGCGCGGGTACGGGATGGAGCTATCGTCCACCTGCCGGGCGGGACAGGCCGGTCAGTGCGGCGTCGCCCACGTGCCGGCCCCGGCAGGCAGCCGGGCGGGGCGCGAGGCAGTCGCCACCCGGAAAGGGCGGCGCGGCCGGTGGAGAGGGGCAATCACGGCGATTCTTAGTCGCTTTTGCGATGAGCGCCTGATGAGCGCTTTACGAGAAGTTGCACGGCATTGCAACGTTGACATCAAGTTGGCAAACAATGCTTGTCGCACCTGCTGACCACTTACCATGAAGTCGATGTCGTCGAATCGGTAGTATTCATTTCCTTTGAAGAAGTAGGTCCTCTTGTTTTTGTACGTCATGACACTGTCGATGTTGTTCGGTATGCCGTCCCACGTGTTGATGGGTCGTGGGTAGTCGGAGGCCACCTCGGGCTCACTCTTGGGATCGTACCTCCAGTATCGGTTGCCCTTGAAGAAGTATACTTTTCCGTTGGGTATCCATTGGAAGACGGCAGCCACGTTGTCCTCGATTCCTCTAAAGCCTGCCGAGATCTTCTTGGGATATCCAGCGTCCATTTTAAATCCTGTCATACGCCAGTACTCGGAGCCCTGCGCAGAAATATACCTCGGTTAGCCACATTGCACTGTTGCACCAATTGACAAATTCATGGAAATCAGATATGTATGAAATCATGGTTACTTTTGATAGAGGTCAACTCAACAATAGCCAAAGGACACCATGATTTTCTTTCCTGGCAGGCTAAAAAACACGCACGATCTTGCGCCGCTGGATTACACTTCCATTCATCTATAGTTAAAAATCACATATTCAACAAGTAGAACAGTGTGGGCCGACTATGAGCTCACCTTGAAAAAGTAGATCCTTGCAGTGCCAGACAACGTCAGAACAGCGTCAACATTGTTCGGAGCACCATCCCATGCCTCCGCAATCTTTCTTGGGTAGTCCTTCTCCACACCCTTATCGGTCAATCGCCAGTAATTTTCTCCTTTGAAGACGTAGGTGCGGTTGTTGGACGGGACGGTAAAAATGGCATCGACAGAGCTGTCTGTGCAGAGAATGCTGTCGTCTTCAGTCTTTGTCATGCTGTCTTCGTCCCTTGAGGTTCCCCCTCCACCTGTCGTAGCGGGCACCTTCGGTTTGATGCTGGCTGGTTTTCCGTACAGCTCCTGTCGGCAGTGCAAACTTTCCGTCAGCGTCTGCAAAGGTCCAGGGCAGCGAGCTCCCCATCATCGAGCCTAGAGATACAAAACCTGAGATCCCAATCCGAGAGACATAACACATGAGACCCCAGCCCGAGAGACATGGAACCTGAGACACCAATCCGAGAGACACGGAACCTGAGACACCGATCCGGGGGGACAAGGAACCTGAGACACCAATCCGAGAGACACGGAATCTGACCAAGGAACCTGAGACACAGATCCGGGAGACACAGAACCACGACACGCCAAACCTCGAGACGTAACATCGCATGCCGATCTCCAGTGCATCAAATCCGGGACACCAATCCGAATGACCGAACATCGAGACGCCTAGCCCCAACACAACTAGCCGCAAGACTCCGAATCCTGACATGCCAATCCGAGGCACTAATCCCGATACTCCGTGGCTCGAGATGTCGATCTTCGAGACACCGGATTCGAGACCCCAAATTCGGGACACTGGATTCGAAACACCGCATTCGGGACACCGGATTCGATACACCGAATTCGAGACACTGGATTCGAGAAACTGAATTCGGACACCGGATTCGAGACACCGAATTCGAGACACCAAATTCGGGACACAGAATTCGAGACACCAAAGTCGGGACACCAAATTCGAGACACCAAATTCGGGACATCGGATTCGAGACACCGATTCCAGACACCTAATTGGGGACACCGAATTCGAGATACCGAATTCGAGACACTGGATTCGAGACAACGGATTGGAGACGTCAAATCTACGACGGGCGCCCGAGTCCCCGAGCTCCCAAACACATGGTCTCGCGCTGCCAAGCCCACAGTCACCAAAAACCGCAAGCCGGGCCCTGGCCAGCGTGGAACACCCATCCGCCGTCGCTTCCCCGCCGCATGTTTCATGCTATCATCCTACCGAACCCAACAGCAATACCTGCTGCTCTGGTCCGCGCCGGCGGTCACGGGCGCCGGTTGGGGCCGTCCAGCAGCAGCTGGCCCCGGCCCGCACGCGCCAGTGTCATCTCACCGCCGCCAGCCGTCGCGCGCACGGCGTCGCCGAGCCTCACCTGAATAGCCAATATGTCGTCCTCCTTGATCACGTCGCGGGAGAGGCTGGGTGGTTTGTAAAAGGGTGCCATCAGCGCCTGATTGTCGGACGAGTGCGAGAGGCCCAGGCTGTGGCCGAACTCGTGCGCGGCCGTCATGAAGAGGTCGATGCCCCGCCGGCTGCGTGGGTTGATTGTCCACTGCTCGTCGTCGTCGAAGTGCGCGTCGCCTCCGTAGATGGGGAAGAAGGCGTGTGCCAGCGTGCCGCCCGGCCCGTCAAACGGATCGCCGTCGCTGTGGTCAGCCGCAGCGAACCTGGCGGCCAGGGTGGGTCAGGTCAGGTCAGGTCGGGTCAGGATGTCAGGTCAGGAAGCCAGGTCAGGAGATTGCCACGCAGCAGATCGAGGGACGATATGGCCGGCTCCTAGATGTTTTTGGCATTCCCTTGGTTGCTTGTGGTTGGGAGTGATTCATTTACGAACGATCAGTTAATGGCTGCTGCGATCAATAAAACAAGGAAGGAAATGGCTGCTGCGATCAATAAAACAAGGAAGGAAAACAGTGAAGGAAGCGAAGTGAGGAAATGATAGGTATGAGCATAAAAACGATGCTGTGAAAACGTGTTAGTTTATTTGCTGGTTAAAAAGGCGACTTACCTGATTTCAATGTTTGCCTTCTCAGTGGCAGCGACCTCTTTGAACTTCAGAGCAGAGACATCTTCCCAGGCCTGAAAGGAATCCCTGATTGCTTTTCTAACTCCATCCTCGTCCTGCAGCTTGCTTGGCCAGCTCGTGATTTTGTAGCTGAGATTCTTAACACGCCAGCGACTTCCTGAAATGCAGGTGTTTTTAAGACACTGCTACGTATAGTCCGTGGAGAATACACCGGCGCCGGCAGGAAGCCCAGGTCGGGAGAGCGCAATGAGCGATTTCCACTCTGCGAGGCACATCCCGGCTCGGGCTCTGTTGCGACTACAGCTCCAGACTGCTGCGGCTTCGCCGGCGGCCGTTATTTCGTTGAAGTGCTAACGTTGATCTCCTCAGCCGGATGATGTGCGGGTCCGTGTCGCATCCGCTGCCCCCCCCCCCCCCTTCGAGGCCGACTCAGCGCACCCCGGAAACCCACCGCTGCGAACGCCCCTGCATACCAGGGCATATCGGGCGGAATATTGAACGCGGCGACGGCAGAACATCACCGGACAGACCCAACAACAAAGCAAACTTCTCGGTAGCACTTGCGCACAATACCCCTGTGCACGCGCCGAGCGCTTGTCGATTCAATGACGTCACAATGGCGTTTGACAAGACGGTGACGCGGTCCACAGCGCATTGGGCTGTTCAAACTCGGTGCTGGGCGGACCGGTTACTGGCCGCGCTGGTACGGGGTGGCGGTGTCGAGCCGCGCTTCGGTCTGCACTTTGCATCTACCCATGCCCGTGGTTACATGACGAATTGCCCGGTGATAATAATACCGGTGGGCACATATCGGATGACACCAAACGCATGGTAAAGGTGCGCTGAGCCAAGCTACGTTGCAAGTGAGAGGAAGCTTTAAACATGCCTTAAAACGTGCCATAAAACCACAATGACCTCAAGTCATTTAGCACGGCTATCGTGTTGACTAGTCATTGATCGTCACCGATCGGCCCGGGGTGACGTCACCCATCTGATGACAACACACGCGAACTAGAGACGGGGCAACGCAGCTCGTGTCCCAGGCAGCTTACAGCCGCCCGCAGCCCCGCAAGCAACGCACCATATCGACCTGGCGCTGGGGCCGACCCGCCTCACCTGCTTACGTCACAGCCCAGCCAAACGGCTGACTCTGGCACGACCGGCGGAAATGAGACCGGTTACGCCTCCCCCCCCCCCCCCCCCAGCGTTCCCTCTCTGCTACCGCCCCAGCGGCGGGTCGCCTAGGGTGTGACGCCGCAGTCCAGAGCAGCACAGTGGCGAAGCTCGCCGCTCTTGAGCGCGGGACGGAATCCCAGCCGAGCCCGACGACAAGGAGGCCACTGAACCGTGGCGCTGAGGCCCCAGTGGCACACACGCATTTTTTTATCAGCCTCAGCACTGTGGCTACTGGCACTTTTTCGGTACCCCTAACATGACACGCATTTTACTGTGTTTGCGGCGACCGGTAGCGCCCCCCCCCCCTCCCCCCAGTTAGCGGCGGCTTCCGCCCAGTAGCGTGCACGCCCGGTGGGCGACGTACCTTGCAGGGCGTAACGCTTCCGGCGACGCGCGCGGTAGCTCGGCCCCAATTTGTCCTTGACTCCGCAGCGGGGCTGGCGCATCTTGGCCAGCGTGACGTCGTTCAGTTCACCTGCGGCAGGGACGGCGGGTTACACAGGCACGCCCGGTCCAGCCTGAATCGGCCCTGCTCGGCCGGAGGATCGTCCACAGCTCGACCAATCCGGGCTGTCCCTTGGTGTTACGCAAACGCGTCGGCCCCATCCGTGACGGTGCAGCTGCCGCCGTGCAGACGAGCGCAGTGAGCGCCGAACTCGCTGAGCTTCTCCGCTGGCGCCCCGGCACCGGGGCGGGCCGGCTCAGAGGGCGCCGCTCCGGCACCGGGGCGGGTCGGCTCAGAGGGCGCCGCTCCGGCACCGGGGCGGGCCGGCTCAGAGGGCGCCGCTCCGGCACCGGGGCGGGCCGGCTCAGAGGGCGCCGCTCCGGCACCGGGGCGGGCCGGCTCAGAGGGCGCCGCTCCGGCACCGGGGCGGGTCGGCTCAGAGGGCGCCGCTCCGGCACCGGGGCGGGTCGGCTCAGAGGGCGCCGCTCCGGCACCGGGGCGGGTCGGCTCAGAGGGCGCCGCTCCGGCACCGGGGCGGGTCGGCTCAGAGGGCGCCGCTCCGGCACCGGGGCGGGTCGGCTCAGAGGGCGCCGCTCCGGCACCGGGGCGGGCCGGCTCAGAGGGCGCCGCTCCGGCACCGGGGCGGGTCGGCTCAGAGGGCGCCGCTCCGGCACCGGGGCGGGCCGGCTCAGAGGGCGCCGCTCCGGCACCGGGGCGGGTCGGCTCAGAGGGCGCCGCTCCGGCACCGGGGCGGGTCGGCTCAGAGGGCGCCGCTCCGGCACCGGGGCGGGCCGGCTCAGAGGGCGCCGCTCCGGCACCGGGGCGGGCCGGCTCAGAGGGCGCCGCTCCGGCACCGGGGCGGGTCGGCTCAGAGGGCGCCGCTCCGGCACCGGGGCGGGTCGGCTCAGAGGGCGCCGCTCCGGCACCGGGGCGGGTCGGCTCAGAGGGCGCCGCTCCGCGCCGTTCCGCTCCATGTCCGCCGCCGGGATGTGCACGCGTAACCGGCTCTTTCGGCACATCCGTCAGTCACCGCAGCGGTATTTGAATACGCGCGGCGGATGTGCCAGCGCGGCGGTGGCATTGCCGCGAATTTCAGGCATAGCCGGGCGGTGCAGGCGCAAGATCCTTATCGGAGTTCAGTGTTGCCACAACCTTGGGAGGCGGGTGACCCAGTTATGCATGCCGCGGTGTATCGTTGGACGGTGGGCGGCGTGGCGTTAGAGCTAGAACGGCATGGGAATACCCCGGGTAAAGTAATCCGGACTCCAATGGTGTTAATGTCAACAGGAATTGCCGGATCTAAGCTGGGAACAAGAAACAACGAATACAGCTACGAAAGTCACAGGCTTTTGTAGACCACCCACAAATCTCCGGCTCATGCTCACAGTTACAACTTACATCATTGTTAGCTAGCGCACAACTTGTATCTCATCCTATCTGTGAGAATGGCCATGAATGAACCAGCTGCTCTGTACAGCTATTGCAACCATTAGCCATCACTTAAACACCACTGTGGAGCCGTTTGCTGCACAACCAAATTTGTGCCGTCTGTCGCTGAAAGGTGAAAGGAACATGCCTTAGACTACCCCCCTCTCCTCGAGTAACACGTCACTCTCCCGTTGTATTCTCCTCATGGCTTGAACGCATATATATATATATATATATATATATATATATATCGCCGCACACGTCACTTCTACATGGTGGTGACACTACGGGACGTCACTGTTTAGCATCCCATCTAACCATCCGCTTATTTAGGGAGCAGGGAATGCAATTGACGCAGCGTTGGCTGCATACAAGCAAACTTCTGTTTTGATGGCTATTCAAAATCAAATTTTAGCAGCCCACGTCAACACCGCCAAGGCTGGCATAAGCCCTACGCGACTGGAGTGGGTGGGAAGACGGAACACACCTCTGCCAAGCACACGAACCTGTCACTTCAAGTCCGGCGAACTGCTGGAACTCAGCGATGTTGCTGGCGAGCGTGACGAGCGCACCAGACCGGTCCTCGCTCGGGCTGGAAGACGAGTAGCCGTAGCGCGCCAGATACGTCTGCAGGCACAGCGGGGAGCGTCAGCCGCAGCCCGCGGCGAGCCCGCGTCAGTGTACCAGCACCCCGGCCGAGGGGACGGCAGGCCCACGCCAGGGTATCAACACCCCGGCCGGGGGGAAGGCAGGCCCGCGCCAGGGTATCAACACCCCGGCCGGGGGGAAGGCAGGCCCACGCCAGGGTATCAACACCCCGGCCGGGGGGAAGGCAGGCCCGCGCCAGGGTATCAACACCCCGGCCGAGGGGACGGCAAGCCCACGCCAGGGTATCAACACCCCGGCCGAGGGGACGGCAGGCCCACGCCAGGGTATCAACACCCCGGCCGAGGGGACGGCAGGCCCACGTCAGTGTACCAACACCCCGGCCGAGGGGACGGCAGGCCCACGCCAGGGTACCAACACCCCAGCCGGGGGGAAGGCAGGCCCGCGCCAGTGTACCAACACCCCGGCCGGGGGGAAGGCAGGCCCGCGCCAGGGTATCAACACCCCGGCCGGGGGGACGGCAAGCCCACGCCAGGGTATCAACACCCCGGCCGAGGGGACGGCAGGCCCGCCCTGGGGTATTAACACCCCGGCCGAGAGGACGGCAGGCCCGCGCCAGTGTACCAACACCCCGGCCGAGGGGACGGCAAGCCCACGCCAGGGTATCAACACCCCGGCCGAGGGGACGGCAGGCCCGCGCCAGGGTATCAACACCCCGGCCGGGGGGACGGCAGGCCCGCGCCAGGGTATCAACACCCCGGCCGAGGGGACGGCAAGCCCACGCCAGGGTATCAACACCCCGGCCGGGGGGACGGCAGGCCCGCGCTGGGGTACCAGCACCCCGGCCGAGGGGACGGCAGGCCCGCGCCAGGGTATCAACACCCCGGCCGAGGGGACGGCAGGCCCGCGCCAGGGTACCAACACCCCGGCCGGGGGGACGGCAGGCCCGGTTTTAACGTGTTTGTGCCGGTCGCGTTGACTTGCATGGATACCGTGAAGGTTACAGATTCCGACGCTACGCGAGAATCGTGACCGCACGTTTTCCTCCCGCGGCAGGTTAATCCTGCGCCCTCCTGCGGCAGTTAACCCTGCGTCCTCGCACCGTGTCGTCCGGCTGGGAGCCTGCCGGAGCCGTCAGCCGCGAGTGTTTGTCACGGCTGAGACTCGGCTGCAACCACAGCCTACGGTAGCCGCAGTGCTGCCCCGCCTCCCACAGGCCGCTTGAATCCTGAAGGTCTGATTTGGTGTATCGTGGCCGAATGGGCCCCAACCCAGACAGACCAGACCAGACGGTGGTGTCAGGAGATCAGGAGCCAGACTAGTCGCCCTGACACCCTCACGGATGTTGCCCTGAATTTCGTAGATCCGCGTGATCCTAAACTACCACTGGCTGCTACGTATTTGCAAATAAGGCAATGGGCACCATGAATATCGGGGAGACGCCTACATGGCGACATGGTGTCTGCTCCACGCAGGGCTGACACACCCCAACGTTGGGTACCCAATGTCTGCTGCCTGTGTCATCATCGCAGCAGGACGACGTGATCGACCCGAGCGGGCCTGGACACACACCTGCCGATTCCGTGCGGCGATAAAGTCGATACAGACGCATCAAGGAGTTTGCTAATGCGAGCCCATTAGGCCCACTACGAGAAACAGACTTCAGCACCACCTCCAAAAAGCTGTTCAATTTTGAAGCACTAGTATTGCAGCGGCACGGGAACTATCATGTTTCGTGCACCGTTTACATGCAATTTATTTTGACAAAATTTCGGCCCCGCGTCACATGCTAGCACCTAGAAAGATACAGGAGGAAGGCGGTGAAGAAAACAATTCATATTTTTCGACGCATTCTCCAGCAGCCAAAAGCATTACACGGGCTCCGTCCGACACCTGAGACCAACGACTACTTACCGCCGCCTCAGCTATAGACGCGGAGGACGCGCCAACCAGTGGCGACGCGCCGCCAACCTGCACCCCCACCACCGCACCGATCACCAGGAGCGCAAGAGCCGCCATCGCTGCCGTGCGTTCCTCCCGGCCCGAGCGCACGTCCACGACTGGCCTGCGACCGGGCGCGCGCCACCTAGTACTGGAGGAGCGTGAGTCACGCGGCGGACGCGCGCCGCCGCCGCCGCCACCTCTTCTCGGAACGTGCGGGTGGCGGCGCGCCGCGTCGAGATCCTGCGCGGTGGCGGCCGGTGCTCGAGGTGGCACCAGACGCAAATGCCTGTGTTGGGACGTTCTGACCAAGGGCATCACCAGGGCGGCTGGAGACCTGCTGGGTCCAAACTAGCGGCCTCGGATGATCAAGCAGCGGATGTGAGATCAAAGCGGTTGAGATGATTGCTTCGGTACGTGATCCGCCTGTCTTTTCTCGCCCTCGCTCTATCCTGCATCCCACAGTGCCCCGTGTCTCCGAGGCGAGCCTCACGCACCAGCCCTGGGTGGGCTTAAGTGGACCCTGGCGGGGCCCTGTGCTGGTTAAGTCTCGTCGGAGGCCTTCTAGGTCCAGTGCAATATTGTCCCACCTCCATCCACTCTCTTTCATCACATAGCCGCGCAAGTGGCCACCACTGGCCGATAGCGCTCTTATCCGGGTCAAACCCAAGTACCGGCGCTGTCACGTGGGCGGCAGGGAGCCCGTGCTGCCGGAGAGTGGACGCCTCTCTCCATTGGACTTGCTCCCGGTCATCACTTCGAAATGAGTGGGGACCAGCTTAGAACCAGGCTCAGAGCCGCCCTTTGAACTTGCATGGCTATCCTCCGTGTGTGTTGCCTGGGACTGTGGCATTGGGCTCGCCCACGCTGAATACATTTTGTGCAGAGAAGCCTTCTCGGACTGGATAATCTATGAGCACCCAGATAGTGGCCTGGTATGCAGATCGTTCAAGACGTTGCAGGTAAGGGTACGACTGTCGTAGAAAGTTCAAACATATCGGTTGGGATGTTTCAGAAAAGTATCTTAGAAATATTGGCGGTGGCAGTGTATAAATGTAACTCTACGGCAAATAGCGCTCTTGACATTAAATATATTTAGAACTATGGGCCACATGGCATATTTTTGACACCATGAAAATAGTGAGTCTGAACGTAAAACGTTATGGAACTCCTGCAGTCAGAAGGAACAGAAGCACTTAAAAAATATGGAGATGGTAGTCATTTTGGCTATTTCCTTCCAGATAACGCCGGTCATAAAAAGCCTACGATGTCAAAAATGAGCCAGCTCAGTTCACGATCTGTTTGATCTACCACCTCATGTTCTAAAGTCTCCGGATACCTTAGCCTTACAACTAAAAACTGTTTTCTGAATTGCGCGGTACGGACCACAGCAATTTCTAACTATGGTATGCAAATAGCCACAAGTTCTCGCATTATAACGAGGACAAACAATGGCATGACGACCAAATTTCGATAGCCGAAAGGTACACCTGCGCACGCCCCTAACACTGACACATACGGCCGCGGCATGGTCAGTTCAGTGTGATGTTTCCTCACACCAACATGACGATCCTTTTGTGGGAAAAGAGGCAATGTTCTCTAGAGATTTGAGCTACTAAAAATAATGTTTTAATTGTTTTTCACCTAACACGAGTGCAGACTTCTGTTAGAACTGCATATAGCTCAGACAGCTGTGGGACGGAAGATATACTGTTTTTTCTTAGGACGCCTTAATGTTACGACCCAAAGTACTGGTATAATGCGGATAGCACTATTGGCTGATGACCTGCGGGCCCATATCATAAGAAAAAATCTTTCAGCCCAAAGCGTAAACGGTTGGCAAAAGATGCCATTTGAGTTCGTGAGGGATATCGCAACTTTGCAAGCATGTCGCAAAAGCATAACTTCCGATTGACCTATGAGTCATGACATCCACTTCAGCAGAACAATGTGGTCTTTGACGTTGGCAAAAGTCAGTGCACGTGGCGCGAATGAAAAAATCGCATTAAGCCGCAGCATAATGCTGAACCTTGCACGCTACTGCGACGAAAGCACCCCGAGAATAGTGGCTTTTTCCGTGAATGGGCATCGCTGACGTCACAACCACGACCCGTCAAGCAGGCTCGAGCGACGGCAGCCGCGCGGTGCCTGTGCCACATTACCAGCAAACGAGCCGGGAACCGGTACTGTGGCCGCAGCCAGGCCCACTCTCGGGAACCGGAAGCACGACTCAGCGGCGACCGGATGCTGCGCGGCTTACTCCACCGGCGTGAGTCATGACTCCGCCGCGGCGCCCCGCAACACGTGAGGATGGACTGGCGAGCCGCAGTCAGACGGTCTCCGCCCCGCCCCCTCCACGGCAGGGGGCCGCGCTGGTCACCGGGCGCCGCCGGCAGCGAACCGCTCGGCGCGGCTGAGAGGCGGTCCATTAACGCCGGCATGAGGGGCGGCCCATTAACGCCATTAAACTCGGGGTCGAGCGCCGCCGAGAAGCGAGTCTGCGCGTATATTACATAACGGGTCAATATTGCGCGGTCAGTATCGACCCGCTGTGGAGCCTACCCGTGACTGCCTCCACGTGACCAAGAGTTTTTCACGACGCTGCTATGATAAAAAGAAGGCCATTCGCCCTGTGACTCAACGTAAAAAAATGCTTATGAGTTTAGTCGTTCAGGAAAAGGGATAGCTCTTATATTTTCTCGTACATTTAAATGCGGTTTTTGATGGAAGTGGCCAATGAGAAGCAGTCCAGATCAGACTGTCCATATGGCTTTTATAGTTCAAAGCTCTTAAAGTCAGGCTTAAATTGCAACCATAGTTAGTCAACATGTTATTTTTCGGGAGGAAAGACACAGGCAGTATAACCGCATGATAACGCATTGTGCGAATCGCTGAACGATGTAAGCCATGTAAGCTTACTGACCTGAAACCGAAGCGAATATAATTTCTATTCCGATTGCACAATGTTTGGGGATTCGGTCATCGACCTGACTCAGATCAGTCACGAAGATGATCGACGTAATGAAATCATGCATGACGACTGCCAGCAATAACATACTGACCTGCTTAACCCGACCCAATCATTGCAGATAGATAGACCATGTGGGGCAGCTCTGGAGCCATGAACATAGTACCTAGGTTGAAACGCACGTTAGCCAGCAGCGTGATTCAGCCGCCATTTGCAATCTTGTATTCAAATAGTATCCTCTGCGACATCGACTGTCATGTGAGACATGCAACATACCACAACATTATTCTGCACATAAACCAGTCAGGCACGTCGGAGCAACCTTTCGTAACCACTCTTACTCACGCGTGGTTACGAGTAAGACCCAGCATGCGTTGTGGTACTTATTTCTGGTTTGTTTGGACTGAGCTTGTCAATAATCAAACCCGAGCCGCATGGTCCAACTTGCCATGTAATTGAATTTCAAGATTAACTCCAATAAAATCTAACGGAGCTAAATTAACCACTTTGGGGTTACTGTGCGTCCCCGAATCTAGTTTTACTGATGTACTCCAGTCCCGTCCACCCAAGATGATGACATTGAACTCGGTCTTGATGAGTTAAGTTCAGTTGTCAGCCAGCCTTTCTACAAACTTTTAACCCTTTTCGTTTTTTGATTGCAGACATGTTTGCAGGGTCACGTTTCTAGATCTAAAAAATACTTACAAAAACAGACATCAAAGCCAAGTGTAACGCGCCTGAAAATGTGGAATAAATTTCAAAGCTTTTTCCACTGCGGTATTTCCAACCAAGTTTTGCCCTCACGTATATCGCATAGCATCCTCTCAGTGTAGAACGAAACCGCAATTGCTGCGTCATCACATGTAGTGTGGCTACGGTGGTGCTAGCAAAGTGATCAGCCTGCCACAGCATCGAACGATTTTGCAATGGAAAATCGCTTATTTCGGCTTTGCACTGGCCCGTAAGTCCCCCATTCATTCATCTCTTAATTGAACGCAGGCTTGTTCAACCCGCTCTAATCCCCACGGACTGTTCATTTCGCAATGCAATCTTATTGTTGTGCTTCTTAAAACGCCTCGTGCTGTTTCTGCCCCGGCGTGGTGCGTCACCGCTAGGAGCGGTGGCGTTGGCGCCAACCGCAGCCCGTGGACACGTGTCGACGCGGCTTCTCTGCACACTGCCGTCGGCCGCTCGGTCACTGCCCGAGCCGCGCGCTGAGTCAGACGACCGTGCCGGGCCGTGCCGGGGAATCGAGCCCGCCTGCTACCGCGCACCTCCGCTCCCAGCCCAGCTGACTCACGGTCATGTGCCCCCTGCCCCCCCCCCCCGCGTCCGCCCCTATCTCCACGCCCCCGGCCGCGGAGATAGCAGGACGCCGTGCTATGTTGGGGTCGCCACCGAAATGCAACAGCTGCTGTCAAGAAAACGGTCGCTGTGTGGCAGAGAGAGTGGGCGCTTCTACCTCGCAGGAAGCCCACTTACACCGCAAATAGGTGAAGCCTGGCAGCACGCCCCGTAGTGTTTAACCCCATACCTGCCCGAGCGAAACCGGTTTTGCAATGCAGATCACCCGTGGCGTGTCAAATGTTTTAGAAGTTTTTTTTTCTCTCAGTTCCCAGCTGAGTCGTTGAATCACAGCTTACGAGACGACGGCTTGATAAAAGGATCGCAACGGAAACACCGCTGCAAAATCTGGTCATGGCTGGTCTGCATCAACTGACCCTTGCCCGGAGCGACTGGGTCCAAGCTGGCCAGAACTCACCCAGACTTCCTGCGCATCCGCGGCTCAGAGAACCGACCATTTCGCCGCGTCCAGTGGCGTCACCTATTTGGTCAGACGTACGAGCGCAAATAAGGATACTCGGTGCCTGAGATAGGTCAGCTGGCCGTCCGCGTGGCCGCACTTGAAGAACGCTGACTGGTTGAACCACTCCGCACGTCCATGCTGATCGCATTCGTGCACGTCCATTACATTTTGCTGTTCATGTGTGTCACCTTTAACGCAGCGCATACTTCGAGCTGAGAGTCTGTGTGCCTTGGCACCAAAGTGAATATTCCCAGTGTTCACGCTGCCTCTCCACGACAGAAATAACAGCGCAATTGTAGTGACGCATCACATGGTTCTATTTGGCATGCAAACATGAGCCAGCTCGCCGAGCCAATCAAACCAGAACAGAAGGTTTCAAATTTAGTTAAAGCAGTGGTAGTCAAACTGTGTGCAGCAATCCATCGATGCCCCGATCCAAACCGCCCCTGGACCCGTTTGTTCAGTGCATGCAGAGAAACAGGTTCGTTCTTTTGGCATTCTCTCTGAAGCTTTTAGAGCTGCACTTTAAATAGGGGCTGTGCTTTGAAAGATATTAAGATATTCTAGATATTTTTAGAGCATGGACTCGGATGTTCTATGAGGTTGACCGCAAAATATTTTCTATTTTACAAAGCATCTGTCCGATCTAAGAACGATCCTGCGTGCCGGATGTATAACTCGGACTCGCATTTGGTGAAGAAACGTTTAGAAAGAGTGCACCATGACGCAATAAGAATACCGACGGGAACTTTCCGTAGCCATGCGCATATCGCACTGGCGAAGGCTAAAGAATTCATTTGTACATACATGAACTGCCGTCTGTACGATATGTGGCAAAAAATGCATCGAGCATTTGTTCTCCACGTGTTGTCAGGCTCTTCACTTATTCCAATGAGCAGACAGAATTTCCCTTTACCACATTCGTCAACCAATTACTTGAGCGATGGTAGATCTCGGTGAGCAGTATTGTCCTAGGGCCAAAGCCAGGTTTTCCACCAAGGTAGCTTCCTGCATCCGAGTGTGCCTCCCATCGGTATGGACTGGGCACCATCCAAGAAGCATGCAACGGCGGACGAGTGCTGCGCAGGTCTTATGCTGTCCTGATACGGTGCATTGGGAGTTCCGTAACACACATACCGATGGCCCAAAAAGTAACGCGGGTGTAGGATGTGGTCTGGTGTCAGGCGATGGCGCATTTGCTTAGGATACGTACCGATGGCTCAAAAACTAACACGGGTGTAGGATGTGCACTGGTGTCAGGCGACGGCGCATGAGCTCAGGATGCATACCGATCGCCCAAAAACTAACGTGAGTGTAGAATGTGCACTGGTGACAGGCGATGGCTCATATGTTTAGGATGCATACCGATGGCTCAAAAACTAACGCGGGTGTAAGATGTGGACTGGTGTCAGGCGATAGCGCATATGTTTAGCCTTGTCTTGTTTTGTTGCATTTAACCGCGGAGTTGTGCGTCATCTGCGAGGCTCTACGCTTTCTGCATCTGTGTGACGAGTCCAAGTATGCCATTTTCTCTGACTCTTTGAGCTCTCTGGTGACTTTACAACAAGCCAGTCAGCAGCAGGAAACCGTTAAAGTAATACTGCATTCTTCATTTACCTTGGAGCAGGATAAGAAACGCATCGTTTTCGCCTGGGCACCTGCCCACGCCCAAAAACCCGAAAACGAGCAAGCCTACTCCTTAGCCAACCAAAGGTGCCGCCGGCCCCGTTTCGCCTGAGGTGTATTGGGTGCAGGACACCTTCCCGTGAAAGCCTCTAATTGGACCACTGCAATGCGGCCAACTGCCAATGGCAGCAATGCGGCCAGTGCTGGTCGCTCGGTGAAACGCGCCGGACGTGGCGTACGAAGACTGACTAATGGACCGGATGTTGCCCAAGAACGTGCACCTCGACAACTTTGCCGGCGCCTACATCGCCCGAGCGAGGGGCTACCAGATCTCACACCGTCCGAGCGAGCGAGAGTGTGGTGATCGCGAGATAAGAGGCTCTTCTCTCTGCATGAGTCGGGGGCGGTGTAAACCAGATGGCCTGACCGTCTAGGTTTCCACTTGTAAACATCACACGCCGTCAACGGGACTGCTTACAGAACAAATGCAAATAGACGCGCTAATTGCAAAAAATGGCCGCGCACAGATATCACTGGCTTGGTCACTTGTACTTGAGCTTGGTCATCGCGATGTGTTCCCACTTTACCTCGTAACCCGAAAAGTGTTCTTGCTTTGCCTCCCAGAAATCACCCAACCTTGAGAATGGCCAATTTCATTTTCTTCCAGTTAGAGAGGTGTGGTAGCCATAGTTTTGCAAATAGGAACAGGCTGTTGCGAAGGGGGGGGGGGGCTGTTCCCACCACAAGCCATGGTAGGAGAGGTAAAGTTGTAGTCTTATCCAAAAGAGACCCATTTTGAAGAGGCCCCATTTTGACTAGAAGGGCCCCTGAAAAAGTATGTACACAACTCCCCATCCGAGGCGCCGCCCGGATGAAGGTCCATTCATTCGGGCCTAGTGACCGTCCCAGGTCACAGCGCAGGTCGAGAACACGTCCGTCAGAGGTCAAGGCAGGTGCAGTCACATGTCGGGGTAACAGAGTGGAACACTCCCCACACGGCCGAACTTTGGCTCTCTTTTGCTCAGCCTCAAAAGCCTCATAAGTGTGAAACCAGGCTGAGATAGACACATCGACCCAGGTGTGGTAAAATGCCCTGCGCCGACTTTAGATTGAACGCCAGTCCAATGACGCTCCCACCTCAGACAAATGGAGACCAGGACCCTGACTAGCTCGGCCAGTCAACCTCTTGCATTGTGAAAGGAAGCAGACTGTTATGCCCACGCCCCGGCAAACGTCACGAGTACAGCTGCTGTGCATGAGCACGCCTTCGGCACTCAATCTCCGCCATTCGCGCCAGCCGCTGCATGGCTCCCATTGTTCGAGAGTCGTCCCATCGTCGCGTCCGGGCTGGAGTGTATGACGCGCGCTCACAAGCACCACCGTCCGAGTGGACTTCAGACGAGAATGCGTTCGAATGATGCGTGAAAGGGCGGGCGAGTCCAAAATGTGCAAACGTCCCGTCTCCTTGCAGCTGCGGGACACATGGCTTGACATTTTTATATTGACGGTTCCGAGCTGATTTTACGGAGCGCCTAAACTTGCATTCTGAAGGGGACTGAAGCCACGAGGAAGTTCTCAAGACTGAATCATTCCTTAAACGAACAGGATATTCTTATCATCTTGCACATGCGTAAGAGCGGCCTGAACAGAGTACAGCGAACTGTGCTTAGACGCGGTGGAAACGAAACGATCAGCGGAGGAAGAGGTCCGTGATCCCGGCCTTGTTCACCGTACGGGGTGTGTTAAGACTGTCCAAACAGTCCATGGAATACGCATGATCCTTCCAGCCAACAAAAACTGTTCATGAAATCTCAAATTGTTGGCTCACCCGGAACTGTTGCAAGCTCCAGCTTCTAGAACGCCTTAGGGTACATTTTGGTCGCATTATCGATATTCACATTGGACAAATAGGCTTGAAGGCTTCAAAGAGTACCCCTGATCAAAATATGATAAAGGACCATCCATTTGGGGAACAAGCACACTTCGGTGATCTGATGTGGTCTCAATAAGTCACCTTTGTCATGCTTCCGGGAGATGCAGCCAACCGTTCTGTTTGATGGCGTCTTTGTGGAGGCATGGGGTCAAAATTCTGAGGTAAATATCGCCGAAATAAAACCATTCATTACTTCTCTTCTTCCCTTGATCTTTATTTTCAGTCAGAAACCAAACATTCACATACAGTAACAACGCGATTTTATAAAACGTGGGCTTCTGTCATCTATTCCTTTTCCTTTAAGGTCATGATAACCAACGGCTCACGATGATGGATCTCGATGCGTTGGTAAGAGCAAAACGTGAGCCCCAACACTTGTATTTGTCGCAGGGTGTTGTTTGATGTCCGCAATCATAATCAGGTCCGTGGAACTTTATCGGGTGTTCCTCAACCTGAACTTTGGAACATCCAGCGGACCAGCCAGTTCTTGATTGGATGGCATTTCTGATGCCAAGAATGTTATACATTACGCCCATCTACAATGTCCGTTGCATGTCGCAAGGAGCCGCACTCCTTCCCAACATTTGCCTCAGCCTCTTCCAAAACGCACGCAACATCTCGCCGAACACTTTCGCACACCTACGCTAGAGCACGGTAGATGGCGTCCACGTCAAACTCAAAACCGTATAGGTCCAAGTCTGCAGCATAGTGCTGCTTGAGGCGCACCATGAGCGGGACGGGCAAGGTCGGCACGAGTCGCACCGCTTCGCTCAGCGCCTGGTCGTAGCTGGCACGGGTCGGCGGGTCCCACTGCCCGCTGCTCCACCCGATCTCGTCCAGCAGGTGCGGCAGCTCGACGTCGAGCTCGCCAGCGTGCAGCACAAGTCGTAGTGGGTGGCGCAGAAAGTGGCAGACGTCGACAGCGGGGCGCAGAAGATGGGCGGTGGGACCAGCAGCGGCGTCCAGCGCCAGCTCCGCCACGGCCCGCAGGGAGACCGGGCCGGGCGGCAGCAGCCGAGCCAGCGGCGCCCACCTACAGACAGGGCCTCTGCATGTCAGCGACGCCCATCTACAGACAGGGCCTCCACAAATCAGCGGCGCCCCACCTACAGACAGGGCCTCTGAATGTCAGCGGCGCCCACCTACAGACAGGGCCTCCGAACCAGGCCTCCACATGTTAGCGGCGCCTACCTACAGACAGGGCCTCCACAAATCAGCGGCGCCCACCTACAGACAGGGCCTCTGCATGTCAGCGGCGCCTACCTACAGACAGGGCCTCCACAAATCAGCGGCGCCCACCTGCAGACAGGGTCTCTGCATGTCAGCGGCACCTACCTACAGACAGGACCCTCACAAATTAGCGGCGCACACCTACAGACAGGGCCTTCGAACAAGGCCTCCACATGTCAGCGGCGCCTACCTACAGACAGGGCCCCCACAAATCAGAGGCGCCCACCTACAGACAGGGCTTCCATACGTCAGCGGCGCCCGCCGGCCGGCAGCGCTGTTGCTCGACGGCAGCGCCATCACCCGTGAGCGCAGGACCATCAACTCAACCATCCCTGAATATGTCGGCGGCATTTTTCGACAATTACGGCGCCTTCGATACCATGTGGCGTCACGCCATACTGCCTGCATGGCCACATGGACTGGGTATTAGCAAACTACCCCTTTGACCGCTCTGTTTAAAGCTCGATTGGCAAGCATATGTTGCGTGGGAGTTCGCACAGTGAGTGTGAGCGGATGGGAAACACAATACAAGGCGTTCCGTCCTAGGCGTGGCATTGTGTGCAATGAAGGGCAATGATATAGGGGATACGTAGCTGGCGCGCGATGAGCGCACGTCATTTGGGGATGATTTTGCTACATGGGTTACAAGTTATGACATCCACTTTGATACCAGTATTGCATTAGATCTGTAGATTTTGTTTAACCGACATTAAAAATGATGCGCATACACGGCTGCAATAAAGCAAAACCCTACAGTGACCCATTACTCGAAATGTATTGTAAGACTGTATGGATAAGTAATCAAGTCCAGTTCCCACGGATATTCCTAGACAATCTTCCATCTTATCCGGAGCTTTAAAATTACCTTCGAACCAGATGTTTTAAAGACCAAGACGAGCACATGGTGGTATCTCATGCAGTGTGTGGGGGAAGTTTGCTACCTCGTCCAATCTTCTATGAAAATGGGGAAAACATTGCTGAACAGCTCTTGAAAAAACTCATCATATGGGTGCTAGCTGACATTGACGGGTGTGTCATGTGGCATGTCACATCAGGTGGAAGGTGTGGGAGTTATTGGTGCGCTGGTTCGTCTGGCTAAATAAGACTATGCAAGCAACGCCACTGGAGAGAACAGCGTTTGCCGGGCCTCCCAAAACTTCTAATAAGCGCCATTAAGGACTACATTTTAGGACCTTTTTAAGTTCAAGCCTGGTGGCGAGTGTGAAAGCTTGACCTTCGATGGTTTGACCTTGCAAAATTGGCCAGAACAATGGTAATGCGCTTCTGTGTGATGGAGCTCGGAAAAGAATAGCTCAGAGGACCTCTTTTGGGTAAATTTTCTGCGAGAAATAAGCATGATTTGGCACAATGGAGAAAGTATCACCGACATCAGCTCGAGAAGGAGAGTATAGGTCACGAACCGTCAATGCGCAAAATCAATTTGTAATATGCGTAGAAGCTATGCAAGCTCATCCAGCAAAAATGTCAGCACCGTGCTCAAAACCATGGGAACTTTTTCCAGAAAATCTAACGGGATGGGCTCTGAGGACAGGCTTGGATTAAATTTAATGCACAGGTCCCGCCACGACGCCCTTTCGAACGTGATTTTCCGTTTGTCATTGCGCGGTCTACATGTGACTGGTACGTCATGGGTCTTCCCCGTCAGTGATACCAGTGAGCTTTTGGCCTGCATGCGTCAATGTGCTATCAGCTGCAGCCGGAAACACGGAAATATCCGTCGGATGCAACGGCGTAATACGTGAATCGGTCCGGAAGACGCGGGACAGCAGACAGTAGTGAGCCTGTTGACGCCGGCATGAGTTTTAGCAAATGTTAACTAGGATTTCTGTAGCGCGGCAATTGAAACGGTACTCATTTTAACGCGAGTGCACTGCGATGGACTGCAGTAGGCTGTGAAAAGCTGAGGCTCTTTTTAGAGTTGTGTGGTGTGAAAGAGCCGTTAGCGTCCACGGCTCGACGGGATCGTGCGTAGTCCAGGCTGGCAGGCGTAAATGCGCTCGAGACTGGCCCTTGTGAAGACGGAGTGCACATTAGCTAGGTGACGAAACCCACCCTACGCTCGTCTGGCGCAGATTGGTGTAGATTCTGATGAGCATGACCAGAGGGTGCTCCACAATGTTCCACGACAAGACCGACGAATTGCTGTTGGCCATGGAGAGAAAGACGCCCTCTTCGATCCGTATCTCTGAATAAAGAAAACAGAAATGACAATTAATGTAAAGACGGATACGAACGAAAAAACTTGGCAGGTTTTATCCGGCCAAAGAGCCCAGACATACCCAAATGACAAACGTGGGTGAGGCTTAATAGATTCTGCTCCAGAAAGCTGCTCGAGCGAGTCCATGGCACTGGTCCAGGCTGGCGTCAGCTAAGGAGATGTCCCAGGACACTGAGCTGTCACGCCGTGCAACGAGCTGATGGTGGGGGAAGGTTTTACAGGGGAAATCTCCCAGCAACAGGCAGCGCTCAGACTTCTGCTCGCCGGTCAGCCGAATCGGGTCAGCAGGTTAGATCAGCAGGTCAGCAAGCCAGCGAACCAGATCAGCAAGTCAGATCAGCAGGTCAGCATGTCAGCGGACCAGATCAGCGAGTCAGATCAGCAGGTCAGCAGGTCAGCCGGATCGGGTCAGTAGGTTAGATCAGATGAAAAATGACGATTGTGTGTACTAAAGCCGCACCAAGGGGAGGTTAGAGCGCTTGCAAATATCAGTCACATTAAAACAAAAGGGCTGTGAGATATTTAGCACTACTATGAACCGTTGCGTTAAGCATCTGTTCGGCCTCACAGCATGCTCAAGGGCCAAACAGTCAAATTTGAACCAAAAACATCGGAAGACAAAGGTAAAAGAGTGTAGAAAATTAGGAAGTAGGGGGCCTGTTTTTGAGCTCACGCCCCCCCCCCCCCCTCTCCCCCTTCCCCTCTTCTCATGTATAGGCATAGGGCAGAAACGCTATCTTGTCGCCTTGCAAAGAGGCTTTAGAGGGTAATGATCTGACGATTCAATGAGTATTTTGGGTCTTACGCAATAAACGTGTTGCCATAAAAAACAGACTGCCAAACCTGACTTCTCTGTCAAGTAAAATCTCGGAAAAACTGTCACCGAAGCCATGAACCGAACGTCAAGCGCAAGCCTCGGAAACCAAGGGTAGATGGCGCCACATGTCGGCCGCTCTCTTTATGCAAGATCCCACGGCCCAGAGAGCCCGAGAGTGGCGTCAGGCGAACCTTTCCGGGTTCTGGAACAAGGCGATATGTCCACGCAGCTTTTCTGACCTAAACCCCATCGAAAACACGCGCGGCATTCCAAAGGCGCGTTCCAGCGAGATGGACCTCACAAGGGCATCTCGGAGCTGAAGGCAGTGCTGCAGAGGAAGTGGGCAACGAATTCGTCCTTCAAGCTGTGCAAGCTGGTAACTGCATGGAAATAGGATTTCCAAATGGTCAGAATTGCAGGAAAAGGACGTCGGCTTGGGAACAGAAAATGGCTTACAATGCAAAGAATGAAATAGGCCAAAAGCGTGTTGAAAAGGGCGTCAAAGCCTACGTTTCCACGACCAACGATAGAGAGACCGGGCTGCCATCCACCATCCGACTACCATTGCCGCTGTTTTCCTCAGCCAAGTGCTGCAGGCTGTCGGCAATCTCTGTGGTGACCGTGGCTGGGTGACCGCACCAATGCAACCGGGACTGCGACCTGCTCCATGTAGCCGTCTGGCCAGGCCACCTGGAATACATAGGGCGGCCACCTAAGAGGCGGGGTCATGTACGATAGTGTCATGTACGATAGTGGGTCGAGCCCTGATGCTGCGCATCACTGGTGATGATGATGGCGATTGGCATGATAGACGGCCTATGTTGATAGTGGTACCAGCCACTGATAATGATAAAAAGTCCGCTCGCAGGCGTTCATCCCACGCATGGGTTATTTCCGCTCACATGCGGGCACCCATGCGACATATTCTGGCACGCAAGTCAGCCATGTGTATAGCCGTTACAACCCAGAAAAAACGCTAGTTTCGGGAAGGTTTCCATGCAGCAGATCTCGGTCACCTGGCCGCAGCCGTAACGTCTGACGTCGGTGACCTGGCCAAGCGACGCTGTCTGACGCTGGTGACCTGATCGCGCGGCGCTAACGCCTGACGCTGGTGACCTAGCCGCGCGGCGCTGTCTGACGTCGGTGACATAGCCGCGCGGCGCCGTCTGACGCCGGTGACATAGCCGCGCGGCACTGTCTGACGCCGGTGACATAGCCACGCGGCGCCGTCTGACGCCGGTGACATAGCCGCGCGGCGCTGTCTGACGTCGGTGACCTAGCCGCGCGGCACTGTCTGACGTCGGTGACATAGCCGCGCGGCGCTGTCTGACGTCGGTGACATAGCCGCGCGGCGCCGTCTGACACCGGTGACATAGCCGCGCGGCGCTGTCTGACGTCGGTGACCTAGCCGCGCGGCGCCGTCTGACGCCGGTGACATAGCCGCGCGGCGCTGTCTGACGTCGGTGACCTAGCCGCGCGGCACTGTCTGACGTCGGTGACATAGCCGCGCGGCGCCGTCTGACGCCGGTGACATAGCCGCGCGGCGCTGTCTGACGCCGGTGACATAGTCGCGCGGCGCTGTCTGACGCCGGTGACCTAGCCACGCGGCGCCGTCTGACACCGGTGACCTAGCCACGCGGCGCCGTCTGACGTCGGTGACCTGGCCACGCGGCACTAATGTCTTACCGGCGTGGGGCGGCATGCTCGTCTGGCTGCCGCTCGCTGCAGTACTGCCGCGCCGCCAGCACGCAAGCATCGAGCGCCTCCCGCGGGGTGAGCTGCATCCGGCCAGAGGGCGCGAAAGCTGGTTTCAGCAGCGAACGCCTGCAAAACGTAGATGGCGCTAACGGTCACTGCGATGGCGTTCTCACACGCACGCGCACACGTAGACGCACACGCACACGGACACGGACACGGACACGCACACGCACGCACACATGCGTGTGTGTGTGTGTGTGTGTGTGTGTGTGTGTGTGTGTGTGTGTGTGTGTGTATGTGTTGTGTGTGTGTGTGTGTGTGTGTGTGTGTGTGTGTGTGTGTGTGTGGTGTGTGTGTGTGTGTGTGTGGGTGTGTGTGTGTGTGTGTGTGTGTGTGTGTGTGTGTGTGTGTGTGTGTGTGTGTGTGTGTGTGTGTGGTGTGTGTGTGTGTGTGTGTGTGTGTGTGTGTGTGTGTGTGTGTGTGTGTGTGTGTGTGTGTGTGTGTGTGTGTGTGGGTGTGTGTGTGTGTGTGTGGTGTGTGTGTGTGGTGTGTGTGTGGTGTGTGTGTGTGCATCACCACTGCGCCTAGTAACATCGATGCAAATTCCATCATCTTACATAAGCATCTTGCATTATACTTCAGAATCACTGTAGGGGCACGAGCACATGTCTAACAAGAGGAGCCACCTGTGATGCTGTTAGCGCCCTTGCGATTTTACTAACTCTATCTCTATCGCAGCGCACTCACATGCGTTCGAGAGAGGCATGGGTTCGCGCATTACGTCGCGATGCGACCAAGAAGACCAGGAGAGCAGTCAAGCACAGCAGCACAGCAGTACGCTTGCGGTTGCATCGCCACGTGGTCATTGGAGCCCTGAAACGGGCGCGTCCTGCATCACCTGGTCTGGTGATGGACTCGGCGCTCGTGAAGACCTGCAACGGTGCCGCGCATGCACGCCCGCAAAGTTACTGCGAGTGTTAAACGTGGGCAGTACCGGTTGTCGAATGAGTGACTTGCCCATCTCAGTAAAACATTTTGAACAGCACATGGGTTTTTATTCATGAAATTTGTTTTAGAGTTCAAGAATGGTAGACTGAGTCATTTACCAACAAGCCAACGCACGAGTTCGTTTGTCACAAAAGTTCGTCTCACGTGATACACTCTAATTTTCTACGTGACGTGTAGGCCAGCCTTCCCCGTCACCTGACGTCCCGGCCGTTCCTCCCCGTCACCAGACGTCCCGGCCGTTCCTCCCCCCCCCCCCCCCCCCCCCCCCCCCCCGGCGCCTGACGTCCCGGCCGTCCCTCCCCGTCACTAGACGTCCCGGCTGTTCCTCCCCCCCCCCCCCCCGGCACCTGACGTCCCGGCCGTCCCTCCCCGTCACCTGACGTCCCGGCTGTTCCTCCCCGTCACCCGACGACCCGTCATCTCTCACCGGCTCCTGACGTCCCGGCCGTCCTTCCCCGTCACCTGATGTCTCAGCGATCCCCCACCGGCACCTGACGTCCCAGCCATCCCTCACCGGCTCCTGACGTCCTGGTCATCCCTCCTCAGCGCCTGACGTCCCGGCCATCCCTCACCGGCTCCTGATATACAGGCCATCCCTCACCGGCACCCGAGCCCCGGCCATCCCTCCCTGACACCTGACGTCGGGCTGTCGCCAGCTCAGCGCACTCACCTGAAGCCCCGCTGTGAGCAGCGCCGCCGCCCTCAGTGTGGCGGCCGCCGCTGCCGCTGCCGCTGGCCCGACTGGCAAGCACGCCGCACGGACGCCAGCCATTACGGGGCCAGCGACCTCTTGCAACGCCTGCTGGCTGAACGGTGGGTCTCCGTGACGCACCGCTCTACCGCTCACTGCGCTGCAGTTAATGCCGCGTCATTGGTGCAGTGTACAGAGTGGGAAGACTATGGGAGTGGACCCTTTCACCTAACCGGCGCCTGGCTGTGGGTGCTGCGTACCGACATTTGTTTGCTCTGTACCGGCGGAGAGCTTTGTCCTGACCCACGCTGCGCTGACCTCGTCCCTGCCGCGCAGTAATGGCTCAAGGCCAGTCGCAAAGAAAGCGCCGAAAAATGTCGGGCAAATTCGCAACTGGTTTCACCTTTACTGCACCTGTAAATGGGACGGCGGTCGTCCTGGCTTTACAAATATGTTATGTAATGAACCGTGTCAGCGACGCACAGCAGACGAGGGATCTCCGCACGCTTTTCTGGGCGCAGGCAGCCGGGTAGGGGCGAACCATTCGCAAGCTGTATAACAATTGGCGGGGACGTGCAGACCCGGCGGCGGCATGTCGAATACATACTGGGTGAGCGACCCAGCCAGTCACGACCACGGCCATGAGCCGTCCATAAGCTGGCTCGTTGCAAGTAACTGCTTCACAAATGCAGAAACTGGGCGGCTTATCAGTTGCTGCACGATATCCACGTCCAATTTGCCTGGGCTGGTGATAGTCGCCGATTGAAAGTCGATGAAATGGAGTGTTCCCCTCCATATCTATATCGGGTTTTGAACTGAAATAGCCATCTAACCATCTTGAAGATCAGTCGGTTCAGTGCACAGCCCCGTCTTAAAGACCCAAGCCCCTCTAGTTTTTTAGCTAGACGACCGCAAAGACGTGCGGGCTATGTCGAGGGACTACTTCAAGATCACTCAGGCATCCATGACGCCATAATAACGTCATTCAAATTCTGTGTTTCCATTAGCCATGCTTTGAACGAGGCCAAGACAAAATATTTGTCCGGTCTTTCACATCTGACGTTCATGAGCGCCATTTCCAGGCAAAACGGAAGTCAATTGGCTAGCAATCAATGTTGTGCACGATACGATGGCGTAATAGAACAATGACGTGTTGAGGAGCATATTTACTTGACATATAAATTGTCTGTCTGGAGCAGTCTTTTCCGCCTAAAAGTCTACAAATACCGATAAGTGGGCCTGGCTAATCATGTCTGATGTTGGCTACAATATCTACAAACGTGAGGCATTTCCTTTAAGGAGGCTAAAAAATTAATCGAGATGGACACCAAAAAAAGTCAATCATCGTGTTCGGCGCGGAGGTACCTAGCGTGCACATGGACTTAAGTTCTGTTTCAGATATTACATGCCCTAGGTTCAATCGTACTTACGAAAGCCGAGTTAATGGAACTTCCGCATCGAACTTCCGAAAGCGCGCAACACCGAACGATCTCGCAGTTAAGACAGTAGTATTAGCCTTATTCTTCGGAAAAACCAGGAGAGTGGCGATGTAGTTTGGTTGATACTTCGGCAACATGCTTTATCGGAACAAGAGCAGAAGGGACGAAAACTTTTGCTGGGACTTCTGAAGACCTCTGCTTTTGTTTCGATAAAGGCATGTTGCCGAAATACCAACCAAACTATATCTCTGTTCTGGTTTTTCCGAGGAACAGGGCTAATACCGTTGTCCTATCTATGTGAATAGTGTTCCTCGCTAATGCACTGAACAACTTACGAACGATCTCGACTGAAAGCCTATCTGTTCCCATCACTGGTGTGCATACACCGCATAGATCTTGGGACCCGGCCTCGCCACCAGCAGACACCTCTGCATCTTGCGTCTGAGCTGCGTAAGGCTGTTATTTATGAAGAGCTCATACTCGCTTTTAAGCTCTCGGGGCCTCCATATGAGGTGTTCGTGCCCACCTCCGCGGTCGGAGCCCAGAAACCGTTCGCTCTCACGCTCAGTTGCTTCCGGCACACGGCGCATGCGGTCGATGTGCTCGGGAGCTATGTTTGACGTCATAATGACGCCACGGACGCGGCTGGGGAGCGCATTTGTGGTGAGGCCAGTGGTGTTGCTCTGCACTGTAGCTCTGGCTGGCTGGGCGCCGTCAAGCAGCTTGCAGCCTAACCAACACACTCTTCATCTTACGATTGAAGTCTGGGCTGTACAGCTCAGGTTATGTGGCGTGAAATCCATGGCACGTTGCGGTCGTTACGCCTTTAACACATTCCCTCGCTCTGTCTGTGTGTAAAATATTGTCAGTGGGCATCATTTTTGTGCGTTGATCGTCCCCATAGGTCCAATGCTGAATTTTTATAAAGCCGGAGGTTTGTGTTCCTGCTCGCCCAGTCCCCCCAGTTTCAGCATTTTAGGAAGACCTAAAAAATTATCATCACCAGTGTGGTATCGCGACCATCATCCCAAAGCTATACGGCAAATAAGTCTTCAGCATAAGCAAAGCAATTTACACACACACACACACACACACACACACACACACACACACCACACACACACACACACACACACACACACACACACACACACACACACACACACACACACACACACACACACACACACACACACACACACACACACACACACACACACACACACACACACACACACACACACCACACACACACACACACACACACACACACACACACACACACACACACACACACACACACACACACACACACAACCCACACTCACACACACACACACACACCACACACACACACACACACACACACACACACAACACACACCACACACACACACACACGTGGCCCATTCGTAACATAAAATTGAAATATTTGGAACAAATTTTTTGTTGATTCTACATAAATGTTTAACGTACGGTTACGACCTGAAAATTACAAAAATAGTATGCTGTGTTAGGTGACCCATATTGATCGCATGAATGAGGTGAATTATTCTTATCAGTGCAGTGTCTTTCTGTACGCATATGACCTGCAATTATGTATGCATGTGGAACGCACTCTGACTGTCAAAACTAATGTATGCATTCGCACAGTAGATACTTTTACATAGCACATATATATATATATATATATATATATATATATATATATGTATATATATTATGTATATATATACATATACATATATATATGTATATATATATATATATATAAACATGCCTATATATGAGCTGTCGGAAGTGGAGCGGTCCAGAAATTGGGAGATGCCAGACCGATTTTGAAGTCGATTTTTCCCATGCGTCGTGACAGCGTTCATACTCAGTATTCCTGGGCAGTGGAAGTGGTGTAGCGCTCCCTAACCCCTGATGGTACACTTATACCATGAATCAATAACCTGAGCTCAGGTCGCTGAAAAAAGCACATATAGATATCCAGCAGGGGTGTCATTTTGTGTAACTATTGGACGTGGAATACGTATTCGACAACGCTCCATGAATACATTGTCGGATGAGCCTTACCATCCTATCGTTATTGTCTGTTGCAGGGAAGAATCGGAATTCAGAATTATTCTCAATCGGAAGCAACCGTAAAAAGACGTCACGTGGACATGCAGCTTCGCTTCATACCCCTTGTGACACTATTGTCTAAATTCCCCAGTATGGTGGCATGCCATGATCATTAGGCTTACTTCTTTTGCTTGATGCCGGCTTCAAAGCATCAAGTCTAGATTAACAGTTGCAATTTTTGCTGTCAAGATGTCGATGCCCGATTATATACACGAAATATTTAACGAAGACACTTATGCTTACTGGATAATATTGACTATTGTTCTGATATGTGGATGCTTTCCCACGTTTGGAGCCGACTCTGTGATGTTTGTGGTCTCCTCTGTCACAGAAATTGGCAAATCCATTTTCAACACTTTTATAAGGGGCTGTCTCAATATCTTGAAGCTTTTAGTCCTGGCCCTTTCATTAGTTCTGTTTATGTTTGATTTCTCCCAAGTGCAGAGCAAGATCGATCTCTGGAAGGAAGCATATACATTTCATGACGTGTCGGAAGAGCCTGTTACTCTATCTGGTAGTGTCGGGCGACGATTTTCACGAGCGATGTCAATCGTTCCTCACACCGTTTCCAAGACGCGGTAATTGGGCCAGGAACATTTCCGTACCATTTGCGAGGAACCATTGGTGCACCATCTGATGAAGGTGAGAGCATGTGTTGCGACAAAACTGATCGCTGGGCAAAAGCAGTTATAAGTTATCGTATCTCAAAATACGTAAATGTGTAAAAAGGTTGCTTAAGTGCGTAAAATTGCGTGAAACTTGCAGAATACATACTGATTTAGTGCGCACTGAGGCTAAGTGATAGCTGGTGGCTTTTTGCGTAATATGCTTTGCAAAGGTACCTACGTTCCGCCCAAAAACCGAAACCAGAATTGAAGGGCCAATATTCGTGCAGCAGAGCTCTTTATCTAAATATGCTCAAAGCTCTAAATTAAAGCTTTCGCAGCTTTAAGGCTTAGTCGGTCTTATCACGCAAACCAAAGGATGGTTCAGCTACGTCAAATGTCGGCACCTCTATGCCGTAGGCAATCGGAACGGGATAAGTTCACCTTTATTGACGCTAACTTTGACCTCAAATGGCATCGTCATCACCGTGTGCCTGTTGATAAAGGTCGCCTTTGGAATTCCTTTAACACACTTTATTTGTACGCCGTGCTCTTCTGCATCCGTGTTGTAAATCAAACATCTTATTCCACGCAATTCACCTAGCATCTCATTTGCGCAGTTTTCGATACGCTGCACGTACAGAATGCAATTTGTCAATATATTGCTATGAATGCAATCGTGCAGCCTTTGGGAAGGATGAACAATCAAAACTACGCCCAAGCGCGGAGTTTCGGGGAAAAGTGGTGAACTACATCCTTTTGCGAGTTTGGACTCTAGTGACCAGAAGATTAGACATGGAAAGCGTGTCGTTTTTTGGACCGACGTGAGGCGTTTCATCAACACACCGAG